ATCTCTTTGGCCGTTTCTTGCGAGCGTTTGATATCGTCTTGCAGCTTGCGTGCCTGTGCTATCCAGCCATCGACGTCGGGTGCGGCTTCTCTCGAGAGTTGGCGTACTTCGTCCTGGAGCAACGGTCAGCGTTGCCTGGAGCACGCGCTCCTTCAACACACCTTCGTCTCTTCTCTTGCCTTGGCAACTACCTCCAACAGCTTTGGAAGTGCGCTGGAAGGCACAGTTGCGGACGCGACATCCTGGTCCTGGGGAAACGCGCCATGCGCGGCCGATTGGAGCAGCGCGTCGCCTAGCTGCTCGTCTGAGACTTGCGAAGGCATTTGTAATCACGGGGTGACTGTCATGTCGATTCTAAAAAGGGTTTGCGGCGGGATAGTTCGCAGGGCGTTCGCAACGTCGCAGGACCAACATTGAAGCTGCACGGACGTCCAAGCGACGTCAACTCAAGCGTTGCTGCCCCGCCACACTTACCCCGCCACGCTCAAGCCCTTGGGCTGAAGAAACAGCTGGAGGCACATGCACACGTGCGTTTGGTGACAACCGCAGGTCGCAGCAGATTCATTAGGCGCGAATTTCTTTAGTCAAACCGCGGTAGCAGCATCTTAGCGGCGCCGCAGCACTACTACCGGACAACTCGCCTCTCATATTGCCCTTCGTCATTCCCTCCTTCCTTGTTCGGAGTGGCTTTTTGCTCCTTGTACTCTGTCTCATCCTCTCGTAAGTCTTTGTCATTCTCATTTTACTGCCGTCTCACCGCTACCCGGGCTGGTATGTAGGCTTGCAGATTCAGCCGCATAATCACTGGCCGCGGCCTGTAGGCTTGTAGAGCATGGGTATGCGCAATGCACGCCCCCGAAACATAAGGCAGCTTTTCTCTTGGAGACCCCGATCGAATCGGTAGCGTGGTTTCCTAATAGTGCGTTGGGCTACGTACAACAATTCAGCTAACACAGCAAGGGTAGTACCAATTCGGGCAACGCGGCCAGTGCCTGCGACTTCAGCACCAACAAAGGGTACACCTGCAATCTCACGCTGTCAATTCCTTTACCCTTCAACTTCGACATCATGGGGTCAATACAGCAGGAGTCGCACTTCAAGAAGCTGCAGCAGTTCAAGGCAGATTACGCCGACGCTACATTCACTCAGTATGAATCCCAACGGACGGGTCTTCGGGTAGTGGTAGTCGATCGAAAGGGTCCCAAGGTGTACGGAAATTTCGCGGTAGCCACGGAGATCCACGATGATTCGGGTGCACGTGAGTAGCATGGCTCGTGTTTCATATACTTCTACTGACTGACGTAGCGCATACCCTTGAGCATCTCTGCTTCATGGGTTCGCGGAAATACCCTTTCAAGGGCGTACTAGACAAGATCGCCACCCGATCATACTCTGACACAAACGCATGGACGGATGTCTCCGAGACAGTCTATACTCTCTCAACCGCGGGTTGGGAGGGCTTTGCACAGCTGCTACCTATCTATCTAGACCACCTCATCGTACCTACGCTGACCGATGCCGGTTGTTACACTGAGGTTCATCACATTGATGGCAAGGGAGAGGATGCAGGGTGAGTATCTCTCAACGCCTTCATGCTCCTAGCTAACGACCCAAGTGTTGTCTACTCTGAGATGCAAGGACGTCAAAACCTGCAGGGCGATCTCATGGATCTCCAGATGCGTCGCCTTCTCTACCCCGAAGGCGATGGCTTCCGTATGGAGACGGGTGGCTTGATGGAGAACCTACGAGTCTCCACTGCAGAGCGTATTCGCCAGTTCCACCGAGACATGTATCAGCCCAAGAATCTACGAGTTATATTGATTGGAGAGGTCGATCATCCGAACCTGTTGGACATACTGGATAAATTCGAAGACGAGATCATCGATCGCGTACCGGCTTACGATGCGCCCTTCAAGCGTCCATGGGTCGAATCGAAGCGCACTCCACCCCTGAGCAAGACCATTATTGACACAGTCGAGTTCCCCGAAGAAGACGAGTCAACAGGTGAGGTGCAAATTGCCTTCCTAGGGCCCGAGACTATCGACGATCTTGGAGAGACTGCCATCAACACACTGCTCAACTACCTTGCCGGATCATCTGTTTCGGTTCTGGTCAACACACTCGTCGAGAAGGAACACCTTGCGAGTATGGTATACTTCTGGTGCAAGGGGCACACAGACATGATCATCTGGTGGACTCTGTCGTCTGTGGAGACTGACAAGCTGGCTGATGCCGAGAAGCGTTTCTTCGAGGTTCTCAAAGAACACGCTTCCAAGCCCCTTGATATGAGCTACCTCAAGGACTGTCTTCATCGCTTCAAGCGCCAAACTCGATACATGTCTGAGATTGGCATGGATGAGTACAAAGACCCAATCATCAAAGATCACGTATTTGGTGACCGGAATGGTACTCACCTTGAAGACGCAATGGCTACTCTTGATGTATTCGACACACTTGACAGATGGACTGAGGAAGAGTGGCGAGCATATCTGAATAAATGGATGGTGGATGCTCACCACGTTTCCATCCTGGGTAAACCCTCCAAAGCGTTGTCGGACAAGATCAAAGCAGATGAGGTTGCACGTGTCAAGGCACAGCAAGAGAAGCTAGGCGAAGAAGGCCTGAAAAACTTGGCACAGAAGCTCAAGGAAGCCCAAGACGAAAACGACAAGCCCATCCCAGAGGAGATTATCGCCAGCGTGCATGTTCCCAGTACTGAGTCTATCCACTTCTTTGAGACTACAACAGCGCGTTCTGGTGTAGCAAGGAAGCTAGGAACTTCTGAGAACAATATCCAGGAGATTGTCGACAAGGATGAAAACGGCCTTCCCCTCTTTATTCACTTTGAACACATACCAACTTCGTTCGTACACTTCGGCTTAGCACTCGGCACTGCCTCGCTACCAACAGAACTCAAGCCTCTCCTCGGCGTATATCTAACCAACTTCTTCGCGACTCCGATCATGAAGGACGGAAAGCGTATCGAGTTCGAGGAGGTCATTACCAAGCTTGAGCAGGATACCATTGAGTACTCCATGGACCGCGGTACCGATGTTGGAAGCTCTGAGATGATCTACATCCCTTTCATTGCGGAGGCCGACAAGTTCGAGACTGTCGTGCTATGGCTGAGGTCAATGCTCGTTGACTCCGTATTCGATACCGAGCGCGTGATTTCTGCAGTCAAGAAGATGCTCGCGGACGTGCCCGAAGAGAAGCGAGATGGTAATTCCATGAGCTTTGCAGTCGACCGCATGATCCACTACAATGCCGCATCAGCTGTTCGCGCGACTGGTACGCTTGTCAAGGGTCTCTACCTCAAGCGCATCCTGAAGCTACTCAAGACGGAGCCTCAGCAGGTCCTTGATAAACTCGAAGCCCTACGCAAGCACCTCCTGACTTTCTCCAATATGCGCGTCCTCGTTACCGCCAACCTTGAGACCCTACCAAATCCAGTGTCGACCTTCAAACACCTCACCGACGCTTTCAAGCCTGGTCCAGAGCCAAACGTAAACCCAATTGACGACCGCAACGCGCTCCTCTCAGATATCGGTCGTAACCCAGGCGGTACACACTACATCATCCCCATGCCCATCGACTCCTCCTTCGCAGTCCTCACATCCAAAGGACCCAAAGGCTACACAAACGCCCAACTCCCACCGCTCATGGTCGCACTCGCCTATCTCGACGCCGTCGAAGGCCCCATGTGGACGTCCATCCGAGGCACAGGTCTCGCCTACGGCAGCAACTTCTTCCGCGACCCCGAAACAGGACTGCTCAAGTTCCGCATCTCCAAATCGCCCAACGTCTTCGCTGCGTACAACAAAGCCAAGACGGTCATCAAGGAGTACGGCGACGGCACGCAGAAGTTTGAGAAGCTGGCGTTGGAAGGCGCGATTTCAAGTATCGTTCGCGACTTTGTTGACGAGCGCGCTACGGTTGTTGATGCGGCTAGGAGCTCCTTTATCGATACTGTCACGCGTGGTGTGGGCAAGGACTGGCAGGCTTGGGCGCTGCGTGAGGTGCGCAAGGTGACTGAGGAAGACGTCAGGAACATCTTGAATGAGGTCGTGTCTGGTGTGTTTGTGCCTGAGAAGACGGATCTGGTCGTGACTTGTGGTGGTATCATGACTGACGTAAGTTTCCCACCTGTCCTTGGATTCTGTGTTTCGGTAAAATGCTCACCTTTCTGTACAGGGCCTTAAGAAGGACTTTGAGGACGCAGGCTTCAAGATCGAGATGAAGCAGCTCACCGACTTTCAGGATGCATATGGCCTCGAGGGTGAGGAAGACGACGAGGACGATGACGAAGAGGTATCAGGTAGCGACGATGATTCTGAAAGTGGCTCGGAGATGGAGGAATAGAGACTGGAAAGCTAACCTGAGTTCTACGCTCAGTCCACCTGGTTCGCCACAGACAGTGAACGCCGAAGTAGTAGCAGCAACTGCAATGCAAACACTTCATTCAAGATCCATAAAGTCCCTCTCAAATATTCATATTCATACACTAGCGCAACAACCCCTCTCTCCAAAACAACAAAGCAACAAAACATCGTCGCCAAATATAGCCAAACCACACATCAATCATGCCAGATTGAACCCAAAGACAGCCCCTCAAAAGGTATTGTAAATCATCTCTCTCGTAAATACATACAAGGAAAGTAGGTATAAAAAAGACACCAAAGCTTAGACGCCGGCAATGCCTCTCTCGCCCCCAGCAGCCGCAGCCATAGATGTTGCGTATTCGAAGAAAGCCAGAATGTAGAAAGAGAGAGAGAGAAGGACTCTCGGCGTTCGAAGGTATCAAAGGAGAGAAGGAGGGATTTGGGGGAATCACATACGAAAAAGAGAAGTCGAACGCGGTTGGGAACACACCCAGATACACACAAACGCCCGTTGGGTCAGGTGACACAATCGCCGAAAACGCCGCCCGCAAAACCCCAAAGGTAAGCAAATTCCGATCGTCGTTGTAATCCAACTGCTCATGAAACTGGCTAGCCAAACTATGCATCTTCGGGTAAAATGCGCGCAAAATGCTTTTCCCAAATCCATCCCACTGTCTTCGTTTGGTCGTCTTGATTTCGCGCGAGCCATAGCTCACCCTTCATGCCGATGACATCGAATATCTCGCCAGGCACATACACAAGGTATGGTATTCCGCCTTCGCGGCGATCGTGCGCGATGTTGAACTCGAAGAGACTGGCTGCCAGGAAGAGTACCTCTGGCTCGTCGGTATCGGCGGGTGTGGTGGGGAGGTCTTCGACGCTGCCACGAAGAGGTGAATCTGACATCGGCAGCGCAGAGTTGAAGACACCGGATGCGCGTGTGGATCCCGGTAATGATGGTGGCTGAGAGGTGGGCGCGGAAAATGTGTGGGTAATGGGTTGCGAGGGTGAGAGGAAAGACGGGCCTAGTTGCGGTGGGAAGTCGAATGCGTTGATACTCAGTGGCGAGTGCTCTATGTCTACTGCTCCGTCGAGACCCATGTAGTTGTGGCTGTTGCGAGAAGGACCGGTGTTGCGTCGCTCTTTGCGCACTATGGTAGAGTCACTGTTGTCAGACACAGGACTGAGTGCGCGTGCTTCCCGTAATGATGTAGGTCCAGGGCCAGCCCGACCTGATCCATTGGGTGGGTAGAGAGAGGGGTACGCTGGCCCTGCAGGGGATGAGCGTGGCGGGTTATCGAGACTCCGCGGATGTGATCGGGGTGCATAACCGCCGCTATTCCGCGTTTTCGAGTCAAGCATTGATGCTTCGCTCCCGATAGACTCAGTACGACGCGACGATGAGTTGCGGGACGAGCCGCCGCCGCCGTCGGAAGAGAGTGTTGGAACAGGAGACGTCATGTTGGAAATGTCGACCAGGAGATTCCTGTTGATGATACCCAATCTGTTCGCAAGATCCTGCATCGGCTTGTAGTCCGAGTGGAAGCGTTCGACGTACGATTCGAGGTCGTATCGAAGAGATGTCGTGTGTTGCGGCTCGCTCTCAAGCAGTGGGAGAATCTTCTTCGAGCAAGTCTTGTACCAGTCCTTTTGCAAACACATGAACAGAGTCATGAGCGTGCGCATAAGACCCTTTGTTCTTTCATACAGAAGTGGTAGTTCGTGTTTGAGTGTGTCGTTGATCGTGCTGAACTTTTTGGATGACTCTTCTAGGTCTGGGTCGACTTTTTCGCCACGGTCAAGTGCTTGTTTATGCTTAACGTAGTATAGCAGGTACTTTTTGCGCTGCTCGATAGTCTTCTGATACGACACCCACATCTCCCATAGATCGCCGACGGGCTTTAGGACACGGCTTCGAACGGCAGCTTTCTGTGAAATGGTTAGCGGTATATAAGCGGCGTGGTGCTCAAATACTTACGTGATCTTCCAATGCCTTGTTTTGCAGCTCAAAATGAGCCATTGCCCATTTCCGCCATGTGCTCTCAATCTCCGGATATACGGATGGTGCTACCTCACAGACCGTGATGAAGCCCAAAAATACGATGTTAAGCTGAAGGTAATGCTCGGTGATCGAATCAAGATACTGTTCAAAATCGCGAATGACGATCTGAAGCTGGAAAAAGTGCCCACCGAACTTCTGTTCTTTCGACTTGTAGTCCTGGTCTTTGAAAGTCTTGTCGGCCTCGTCGTACGCTTTACTCTTGTCGACCTTGGGGATAAAAGCCTTGACAAAAGTCTTGCCCAGGCCGCTCTTCTTCTCTTTCTTGCCCTCCGAAGCAGCAGCACGGAAGGTATCAGAACGGGCTTTGGCCTGATTGATGCGCTGACTCATTGCTCTCAACTCTTCGAAAGCTTCTTTGATCTTCGGTAGATCGGGATGGTCCGGGTCGGTGATCTCTTGCAAGGACTGAAGGATCAGCGGATACTTCAACAAGCGCTGACACGGCTTCAACAATAATGAGTCCAGATCCCACGCTTGAGTCATGTTTTCCACTTGCTCGAAGCAAGCAGTCACCCATCCAGATAACGCCTCATTTCCTTGATTCTTCTTGATGAAAGCGCTGGCATTGTCCTGGTTCAGGAAATATGTCGTGTAAAGTCTTTCCATCTTCTCCTTGTTGTCCAAGAAGACTTGACCAATGGTGGTCAATCGATCATTCTCCAGAGTGCAATTCTCAAACTGATTCGGCGAGTCTTCAGATGGTCGCCGAGCATGCATCGGTGATTCTCCAGAATCGTGCGATTTACCATCAGAGGAGTCACGGTTCCAGGGTCCGGTTGGAGGTGGTATCTCATAGTTGACGATGGGCTTTGCAGCCTTCTTGAATGCACGGAACAGCGACAAAGAGAACTTCTCCAGTTCTTTACAGTTGCTGAACAGCAACCTCTTCTCCTTCTCGCTCATCATATTCTGCGCGGTCGCCTCGAAGATGTTGTGCGCGATCATCATATCTATGCAGAATTGATGTTCTGTTGTAAGCAGCTCTTCCAGCGTGCGATATCGCTTTATCAAAGCTTGCCTGGCAGGATCAGGTTGGCCGTCTTCACCTTTCTCGGCTTCACTTGGTAGATCAATAGTACTCTCAATAGGCTGTGGGGTACCGTATCGATCCTCAAGACTCTGTTCTTGAACGTGAAGAACGGGAGTACGTGATCGTGCGGGATGCATTTCGAACTTGTCGTCGTTGAGCATCGGGCGTGAAAGCTGTTGATGTTGTGGCGCAACGTTGTAGGCATTTGGGCGAGAGGAGAGTTGTTGGTCGATGGATGGGTTCACGGGTGGGGGCGGTGGTGAATAGTTGGGACGGGGAGGCGCCGGAAGTGAATGCGGCATACTGTGCTGTAAGTCAAGTCCGAGTCCGCCATTCGTCCAAGCAAGTTGTGGGAGCTCAATGCGGTTGGTTGCGACAGATTTGTGCTCATCCGTTGAGGTTCGTGATAGCGCGTTGTGAGAAGGGTCTCCAGAAGAACTGCCGGAATGAGACGCATCCTCCTGGATGGTCGTGGTGGTGGAACCTGCTGAATTTTGTGAGTAACGTCGCGAGGACGAAGTATAGATGATTGCCGTGCCGCCGCCATCAACTTCTGGCGATTCCTGGTGCAGCTGTGGTGTGTATGAATCCGGGCGTGACGGGGACGCCACTCTCATGGGCTCGCGCCTCGACTTGTCATGTTTCGAGCCATTGGCGTCACTTAACAGTCGAGCGAGGTACGTCTCTGTAGACTCTTTCGAGGCCCAATCTTTGTGCTGTGCAATGACGGGCGAGACCTGCTGCACCCTTTCCTTCGACACCGACGCCAACTCTGGGGAAATAACCGGCGATTGATGGTACATGTTCAAGACTGAGTTTACGACGCTGTACGTCTCCGTGTTCAGCGTCAGCGATCCGAGTGTTCTATAGGGACCAAGGCTGGCAGAGTCATCCGGATACAGCGTGTCACGCTTAGGAAGCGAATCTCCTGGCGATCCTTTTGTATCGTGGCGAGAGATAGATGGCATATCTCTAGCATCGTGTGTTTGATCAGAACTATACCCATACGATAGAGCCTGAAGGCCTGCGCTGAAGCTTTCGGAGTCGGGCTCCCATGAGTGTGACGGCGGCTCCTCGCTGAGCATGATGGGTATTGATTCCCGAACGCCTAGCTCTGACTGCTCCATTTCAGGGGATTGTGGAGCAGGCCGCTGCGGGGGAGGAGCAGTCCTTTGCGGCGGCGGGTGGAAGACGTGCGGTTGCAAGAGCTGGTGGTCCGGCTCCTGGTGTGCGGTCGGCGGCGTAAGAACAAAGCTTCCTGGAAGCCCTAGTACAGGCGATTCGTCGAAGTCGGTCACGGCTGATGCTGGCTGCTCGAGCGGCGGTACCGTTAGGCTGGACGTCTGGAGGCTCAGACGCTGTTGTTCGGGCGAGGGTGACGAGTGCTCGTCGCGCGACATGCGCTGGCCCTGCGTCTGCGCACGGGTCTCATGGGATTGCTCGATCTCAGCAACGCCAGGCAGCCCCGCGAGTTGCTCTTGGGGCGGGTCGAAGCTGCTCGCGAGTGGGAAGTACTCCTGCTCACCATGGGGGCCGGTGCCTGTCGAGTGGGAAGCGGGCGAGGGCTGGAGCGGCTGGCGTTCTCTCGAGTTGCGCAGGCGAGGCGACGTCGGGTGCGGCGGGGCATTGACGACAGCGGACACACTTGGTCCGCTCCTGGCACCCAAGGGCGACTTCCCTCGCTCGCGATATCCACGGTAGGCTAATGCGGGGAGCGTGGACTGGTCTGTGCCCCGGGAGACTGGAGCGACAGCCGCTGCAGCCAGTACCCTGTCCATCCGGGTGGGCGAGGCGCGGTTGCTGTGGTTCATGGCGCGGGTTGGGGTGTACTTGACGGAGCGCGTCGACGAGTTGGAGTCGGAGCCGGCGCTCAAACGCCGTGTCGCTACGGGTATCCTCGAACGCGGCGTGTGTCGTTGGGGCGACCGTGCAGGAGTTTGTTCTTGCGCATGTGCGCGCGCGGCGTGTTGCATGTCGTCGGCGAAGGCTGAGGTTGCCGCGCTGGCAGAGCGGCCATGGTGCGGGCTGGTGAAGGCGGCCGCGGGTGCAGCGTCGCCGTGCGTGCTGTCGAGAACGGGAATCCCGAAGCCTGGCGAGAGCACGTCCTGTCCCGTCAGCACTTCGCCAAACAGCTGCCGCCCGCTGGGTGCAGACGCCCGATTCGGCGAGGTCACCTTCTTGGGCGTCGACGAGACGTGGTGGTCGATGCTGCTCCGGCTGCCATTCGTGCGGCGCGCGTTGCGAGGCGACGCTGGGGCGGGCTGGGGCCTGTCTCGCGGCTTGAGGTTGTTGAACTTGTGCGGCCCGTACGAGGCCTCTTTGCTCGGGCGTGCAGCCGATGCTGTCGACGAGATCGAGGCATGCGCACGCCGGGCGACGTCGTGCGTGCCCGCCCCAGCCCGGCTCGGCGTCCTGGAGCGAGAGCGGACGGCAGGCGACGTCGCCGTCGAGCTGCTGGTGGGCGACTGCTCGAAGCGCTCGGCGAGGGCCCTCACTTTGTTGGAGACCTGGGGGGAGGAGCGAGTGGCCGCGGGCGGCGATGCAGGATTCGAGGCAGACCTCACGGCCGCTTTGGAGGTTGAGCGCGCGCCGTTCGTCATGGGCTGCCGCTGCCGCGCTGCGGGCATGTCGAGGCCGCGTTGCGGTGAGGGAGGTGCTGCTGCGTGCTCGGTCGTCGTGGTGTAGGCGGAGTAGTAGTGCTCGGGCGAGGTTCCCACGTCGTCGTCGGCATGGTCGAGCTCAGTCGACTGCAGCCAGTGTGAAACGGAGAGGCCGGGGTTGTATGCATATTCATGCGCTTGATCAGAATCCATATCCCATAGTCGGCGAGCGCAAAGGCGCAAAAGCAAGGCAGCGCCAACGTTGTCGGAGGAGGTGGGCCAATCTCGAGCAACAAGGGTTGCCAACGCAGACTCGCCGGCTCTCGCTCAGAGGGCGTCTGGGCCAATGACAGTCTCGAGGCCGGTGCTGCCCCAAGTCGACGAGTTGATATGTTTCAGCCTGAAAAGCAAGCGGAAGGGTTCCCGATACGGCGCGCTTGTGAGAGGTTCTGAACTGGCTGTGTCAGATCAACAGCTGAGCCCACGCGGTACATCTAAACTCCGTCGTTACCATGCAGCTAGGAAGCGGGATACCGGCGCCGCTCTCGATGGGGCGGCGCACGACGACGGCCTGGCCTTTGCATCTGGTATCTACATGGAGCAACCCAATATCTTCGACGTGTGCTGTCCAGATGGTTTGGGCCAAGATGGAGGATCAACATGCTCTTTCGCGGCCTGCTTATCCATCCGTGCTTCTCGATGCTATGGGATGATAGCATCCCGCTTCCCCAGCCCGTGGCTCTACCAGTACTAGCGGATCGTGCTAGCCCTCGTTCCCAGGATAGCCGTGTTTTGCGTCCCAGGGGTAGGTCGATCTGTAGATGCAGCTGACCTAATGGCGCTCTACCAGACAGTCGTTCCAAGATTACTATACAATGGCATGCAGGTTTACCATGACGAGGATGATGGGGTTTAGCACAATGTGAGCTAGTCGCAAACAGACCCGTGGACATGGCAGCATCCATGCTATACTCACAAAGAACATCGGGACACAAACAACCTCACTCAGGCGTGCAGCATTGGAAGTTTATAAAATGAACGTAGCATCTTATATGTAGCTGACATAAGATGTGTACCTAGGTAGGCGAACTCTACGAGGGACTTCTGACACAAGCAGAAGGTACCAGTGTCTCAAAGATATAGACATTTCGACAAGATAATGAGGTGATTTTGCTTTGACGACCCTGTAAGAGAGGGCACCAAGGGGCACTTGCTGGTTCGAGTTCCGCATCGTTCATTATCTTTCCCGCCCTGAGGCGTTAAACTGCAGCGTACATCCCAGCATCTGGTCAGGAAGCCCGACATATGGCTCGTGTGGCTGAGATATTTCTGCTTATGCAGATCTTTTGACGGAGCCGCGCTGTCAGATACACAGCCAGTGTGTGGCGATATCGCATCGCACATTTCGTGGTGAGCATGCAGTGTCCGAAGTCGTTATGCCCAGGACTGCGTCGCTACCGAGAGACATCACATCCATGGAGAAGTCTCTCATCTTCACATCCATCACGTCAACTGTAATGTACGACCAATCATTGCGCTCTCTCCCACTGCAAAAGCAGGGAGAAACCGCACCCAAGATCAGCCAAAGTATTCCTCTCCACTTCACAGACGGTTTTCGTTCTCATGGAGACCTCACACCGTCCGTAGACGACGGGTCTCTCCAAAGAAAATGCTTTTCGTGAGTGTGCAATTTGTTTGCGTTGTTCAATGGAGAGGAAAGGCAGGGACGGCCGCGATTGAGATTTTCTTCAGCAGGCCGGCGGAACCTTTGGCCGGGGCGCTTGGACGCAGCACGCAGCCCCGCCACAGGCAGGTGGGCTGTTCCGGATTTGGGTTTGAGTCACTTTGTGTGGGATTTGAAGACGAAAGTTGCCTGCCGCCAGTCTCCACCACCGCAGCTGCTCGACTGACCAGACTAATACCTCGACAACCGAAACCGCCAAACCAACTACTCTCCGATCGCCAAACTCGACCCCCAGTTGCCCAGCATGGAGTCTGAATCCGACCACGACCACCGCGATGACGAGAGCATGTCCGAGCATGAGGAGATTGAGGAGACGAAGCCAAAGTCCGCGATGAAGAAGGGCCGGGAACCCGCGGCGCCCGTCGTGCGCCCAGAGCTTCCGTAGGTGTTGAAGACATGAGGCTCTGCGCTGCATAGCTAACGCGCACAAGCGAACAACCAGACCCAAGCACCCTCGACCTCACCACGCTGAACCCGCTGTCGCCCGAGATCATCTCCCGCCAAGCCACAATTAACATTGGAACCATTGGCCACGTCGCCCACGGAAAGAGCACTGTCGTCAAGGCCATCTCCGGTGTGCAGACGGTCCGTTTCAAGAACGAACTCGAGAGGAATATTACCATCAAGCTCGGTTACGCCAACGCGAAGATCTACCAATGCGATAACCCAGAGTGCCCGCGCCCAACATGCTACCGGTCATACAAGAGCGACAAGGAGGTCGACCCCGCGTGTGAGCGTGAAGGATGCGAAGGCAAATACAGACTGAAGCGCCACGTCTCTTTCGTCGACTGCCCTGGTCACGACATTCTCATGAGCACGATGTTGTCAGGTGCCGCCGTCATGGACGCTGCGCTACTCTTGATCGCTGGAAACGAAACTTGCCCGCAACCGCAGACAAGTGAACATCTTGCTGCCATTGAGATCATGAAGCTGAACCACATCATCATTCTTCAGAACAAGGTCGATCTGATGCGGGAAGACAGCGCTGCGTCGCATTACGAGTCCATCCTCAAGTTCATCCGCGGAACCGTCGCCGATGGCTCGCCTATCATCCCCATCTCTGCCCAGTTGAAGTTCAACATCGATGCCATCAACGAGCACCTCATCAGCAAGATCCCCGTCCCAGTACGAGACTTCTCCGCGAAGCCCCACATGATCGTCATTCGATCCTTTGACGTCAACAAGCCTGGTGCTGAAATCGATGAGCTAAAGGGTGGTGTCGCTGGTGGCAGTATCTTGACCGGTGTATTGAAGCTAGGAGACGAGATTGAGATCAGGCCTGGTATCGTGTCAAAGGACAGCGCCGGAAAGATTCAGTGCAAGCCTATCTTCTCAAGAGTAGTGTCTCTGTTTGCCGAGCACAACGATTTGAAGTTCGCCGTTCCGGGAGGACTGATCGGTACGTGACAACTCCTGCAGACTCATGCACCACTCAACTAACACACAACAGGTGTCGGTACACGCGTTGACCCTACTCTGTGCCGTGCGGATCGTCTCGTTGGTTTCGTTCTTGGTCTCCGTGGACACCTCCCCAACATCTACACTGAACTCGAAGTCAACTACTTCCTCCTCCGAAGATTGCTTGGTGTCAAGACTGCGGACGGCAAGCAGGCCAAGGTAGCCAAGCTTGCAAAGAACGAAGTCTTGGTAAGTTTCTATCCATGATTGCAGATGACAAAGCTGACACTCGCGCAGATGGTCAACATTGGATCAACCGCTACCGGTGCCAAGGTTGTTGCTGTCAAGGCTGACGCTGCCCGTCTGTCCCTCACTTCACCTGCATGCACAGAGATCGGTGAGAAGGTGGCGTTGTCCAGACGTATCGAGAAGCACTGGCGTCTCATCGGCTGGGCCAACATTGTAGCGTAAGTTTCACGGCATATCTAGTTGCGTCCACGAGCTGACATCTTCATCAGTGGTAACATCCTCCAACCTATCGTCGACTGAGCGGGCATGGCGCGTAGTGGGGTAGCTCTCGAGGAGTGGAACGACAAACTTTACGAAGGGACGACGTAGACATAAGCGGTATGACGGCAAAACACGTGCATTTGGTTCCTAGCATTTTCTGCCGGAGTCGGTTGCGCTTGGAGATGGGCACCAAAAGTGGTTTTCTCGCAGCTGTGTTTTAGACAGCATCTCGAAGCCATGACAGCAGAGGGCTAGCGTCACTAGGGAGCGAGCGTCTTGTGTATCAGTACGTTCTCCAGCACAGTGTAGCCGCATATAATGAAGCATGTACATCCACTGGAATTGTTGGGAATGCGGATGACAGCGGGTCACGCAGGCGGAAAGTAGGCCGATCTTCACATGAAAGCCATTCTGTAACATGTGCAAGAAGCTGGCCTACCAACGTCAGATCTGCGTGCTAGCCTACATTTGCCTCACTGTCCCCTCACTGCGCGTTGTGCGATTTCTCCGCTCTCAGTATTGCTTTGATTGCCTATACGAGGTATGTTTGCGAGGCTCCAGTATTATGCCGGTATAAGGCCAGCACACGCTCAAAGGTTCACGTGCACTGACTCGGGGTTTAGAGTTCAACTTGCCCTCGCGTGCTAAACACCGCAACAGTTATACGAGTACGCGCATCTAATTGTGCGGCGACTGGTAGCGCGTCTGTCTTTTCTTCTTTACGCTCGCTGTTGGTATTACTTTTATCCTGTATTGTAATTGCAAGCATACATTGCAGCGGTCGACACGACAACGAAGTTTGCGGGACCCTGCCCAGGACGGAACTGAAGCGCGACGGCTATGGAAGAAGACCCTTCGAAAGCGAGAGCGGCGCCACCTCCGCTGCACATTTACCGCCCCATCCCGCGTCGCAACTTCGAATCCCATAACGACACGGCCGATTCGCCCACGCACGCCTTTTCACAAGCCACGCCCCCGAGCGCGACCGAGAACCGGAGATCGTCTGACTTCCTCGCGCAGCTCAATGCACGCTTACTCAGGACCTTCAACTCGCGCGACGATGACTCGGAAGACCAGGAGAGGGAGAGGGGGCCGCCGCCACGGAACAAGAGCTACTTGAACATGACGAGTAGCACGCTATCCGGTATATACGACGAGACGGGCGCGAACACGGCGGGTGAACTCAGCACGGCGGAAACGCCCTGGGGCACCGGCGCCGAGACCCCCGCACACACTGCCATGGGCTTCCAGCCCTGGGAAACGGGCATGGGAAGTCCTGATGGCGGACTGAGCTTGAAGACACAGGCCAGGAAAGGGTCCGCCATGGGCAAAGTCGAAGCAAGGCGGAGGAGTCACTCGATCAAGCAACCGCGCCACGGCGTCTGGAAATACGTCGTGATCCTGGGCAAGCTCGTAGCATTATACGTGTTTGGCGTCATCTACGGAGTCATCGTCTCGCATCTGCACGAGACGAGACAGTTAGCAGCTGTCCACGTCGAAGGCGTTGATCAAAAGAGCCAGGCCTACCTTGCCACCTGGGGGTTGTTCGGGGTTGCCCTGG